TTGGTAGCTTCCAAATTCAGTCTTTGCAAAGGAATGTTACTATTTTTATTATAGGTGCTTTACGTAACAAGTGATATTTGCACAGTGGAACATTTTATTTCACCAGGATCTTATAACTTCTCCACACAGACATTAAAAAGGAAGCTACAATTTGCTGAGATTCTTTTGGAAAGTATGAGGGCCTCTCCTTCCTTTTAACTCTTCTAACATGCATATGAATAATTTTTTTTCTCTTGTCATTCATCTATAACCTTTTTGTATTTTAAATGCAGCTCAACTCTGAACCCCAAGAAAGGTTTTCAGAAAAAAGAACTGTTGAAGTTTTCTAAGAGAGGGATGAATCAATATCTTAGCATAACAAGACTTTCCTCTTAGCTGTGTTGCCATGGGATTGCAGGTAAGGATTTTGTGTACTTCAGATTTGTCCAGCAGCACTGATTTCAAAGATAACAAAACAACTTTGTGCTTCAACTTGCAAATAATAATTCTGGCTCCTAGAGAAACTACATTGCTTGCAAGTTCAGACCCTCAGCTAAAGATTTCTGGTTTGTGAGCAGGCATTAGCTCTTTCTTTCACACTTGTATTGATTCTACATTACTAATAGGACTAAAAATGGCAAAACCTTTATTTTTTTTTCTTTTTAACAAAAGTTAGAGATATATTAAATAGTGTGGTAACAGGTGTGTCTCAAAGACAGTGATATCACCTGTTGCAAGAACCCCCTGCCCAGAAGCACAAGGTAGTGTTTCCACTGCAACGTGTCTAGGTGGTGTATGGAAATATACTTGAACATGAGGACCAAAATATAGACATTGATTCCAGAAGAGTGAAATCGAGTTTTCACTATCTAGAATACAGAAATGGAGGAGACAAATAACAGCACAAATAAAATATATATCTGAATGTGATGTTCTTTGATGCTGGTTGGGTAAGTAGAGAGTTTAAAAAACATTACTTTGGTAAAATACTTTGAAGTAAATACTTTTGAAAGAAGTCCTAACTTGGAATTTTTCTCTGTTTACAGGGATAAACAGATCTAACTCTTCAGCCTGTTCCCCACCTCTATGGCTACCTATAACTGTCTGAAGTGTCATCCAACTAGATATACTCATTCTCCTAAATCTGTGGCAATTTGTACGTGATAACCTTTTGGAATTAATTCATCACAGAGGCAAATAACCATAGGAAGTACAAAGCAGTGGAGAATACAGCTGTAAGTAGTTGCTACAAGGGAGGTTTTCCTCAAAGGAGAGTATGCTAATATTCCCATTTATCATCCCAACCTTTGGCAGTGGTTCTACATGATAACAGTCTGAACTGCACACCATGATGCCCAAAGGGATGCAACACAACTGGTGGGAAACCAGAACAATCTGAATTAAAATCTTCCAGTCTTGATTCTTAGATCTTTTAGCATACAGTTAACAAACCAACTAGACAGGAGGCAAAATTTGACAGCTGGCTTAAATCAGATGCATAAGGGAGAATTAAAAAATGAGCACTTTTTATCCCTGGCACCAAAATCTGATAAAATACACTTTCACTTCAATATGCCAAAAAAAGGCACAAAAAAATAGTTCTGGTTTAAACCCCAGAGTGCTCCAAGCAACATCTGGAAGTTTAAACAGATGGAAATTGTGATCTTTTGATATGGTAGTGGCCATTCACATCTGTTCTGCATTTGGGCATTAGACTTTAAATACTTGCCTTTCCAAGGATTCTGTTCTTCTTCGGTATAGGATAGACTAAGAGGAACTACTTGAATTGAAAAAAGACCAAAACAAGAAATGTAAACAAAAGCTAAAAACTACCCATAACTAAATCAATCGTAATATTTTTTTTTAATTTTTGTTTTCATTTTGACTTCCTAACACATTTAGTCTCATTTCCCCAAGTACAGTACTGCACTTTGAGGGGAAAGAGCTGAAATGCCACTGGACTAGCTAATTATTTCTTCATGAATTCTGCAGTTTCATAGGATGTTGAAGAGCAGCTGAACTTCAGCTCTTTGAAATGTATGTCTTGCTGGCCAAAAACTCCATAAACTAGACCTTTCCTGCATTTTTTGCTAAGAACATCAGCACTCATAGATTTGACAAAAATAACAAGGAAGTACAGTTTGGAGTAAAAGCACACAATGCACCAACTTAGAGCTAGTTAAAGGTGTCAGGTAAACTTTCTGATATAACAGAGCAGCCTCAACACTTATTCAGTCCTGGAGAACATTAGTTGTGATGGTAGTTGATGGACTGAAGGCTGAATCTTACTCGCCAATGGCCACTGAGCAGCTGGTTGGCTGGAAATGATGTTTAGGCACTACTGATTTGCAGGACGTTGGACTAGCCACGTAGAAGCAGAAGATTTTCTGTTGGTGCCAATTCCCACAATCATCTAGTCCTTTGGAGTTCATTTGGTGTTTTTTTTTCCCTTGGTGTTTTTGGGTTTTTTTCCACATTACCAGAAGCAGTGTGGCTAAATACATTTCAAAACAGGAAAATAGTATGACTCTGTGTTATTCAAAAATATGGTGATGTTTGTCTTTTTTTTTCACTGCAAAGCTTTGACCATTTTTAATTAAATGTGCTCTGCCTGCTTGATCCCTGCTCCAAGCTAAAATGCTCTAAAATCTTATGTGGTTTAGTACAGCTCTTTTTAGCTGCTGATTTTGGTAAGCATCTTATTAATTGCCTGCTTGACATGGGTGGTGGAGCTTCGTCTCCGAGTCTTGCCCTGGACCATCTTTCGACGCCGTACCTCCCGACAGAGCTCATAGAAGGCCTCCATAATGTTGCCCTCTCCAGTGCAAGCAGAACACTCATAAAAAGCACATGCTAGTTCTGTGGCCAGCTTTTCACCTTCCTCTGTGCTGACTTGCCTGGAGTGATCCAAGTCTGCTTTGTTCCCCACCAGGATCAGGGTGACATTTTTGGGCTTTTTAACTTCATCCAACAAGTTCTTTAGTGGCAGCATTTCCTCAAAGCTGCCTCTGTCTGTGATGTCGTAAACCAGCACAAAGCCTTCACCCCATCGCACATGTCCTTCTTTCTGAATAGCATCCTCCTGTTCCCAAAGACAGACACTATCCTTAGGAATTTGATTTATGAAACAGACACCAGACCTTCAGAGAGATGTTGGTCCTACAAAGCCATGTACAGCTGCTTTACTTTACATGCATCACCTATTTTATCACATAGCACAGGAGATCTACCCAGCTACCTGTGGACAGGCTGGTAGCAGGTGTTTGGAAGGGGGCCTCCTCTGATGATATCCAGCACACAAGCTGCATAGCCCTATGCTCCATGAGCATGTGCCATGTTTTGAAAGGAAGGCAGAGCTGACTATGACAAAACTGCTCTTCACTTTAGTGCAAATCACGGATTGAGGCTGTAAAGCTTTATCACTTGGCTGTAGAAATAGGCTGCGACTTTATTTGTAGTAATGACATGTTGGGTTGGCCCTGAATCAAGACATGAGAATAATTTTAATACCAGAGTAAACCTTGACTTGTTTATTCTTCCAGGATTTGAAAACTCTAAGCAGAGTCCCTTGCAGAAGGGTCTGGATGTAGAATGCTGAGTCTAGCAGCAAGCTGATGGTGGTGATGGAGGGGGGAGCTCTGCCTAGAAGCACATCTCTGTCCCCAGAAGCAGAGCACACCCGCCACCTACCACACTGCCACCACCACCGCACTCCCCTTCCCTGTTGTCTGTCCAAGCCAAGGTACTGGATAATAGTACATGCACCCACGTACCTGACCAGCTGTATCTAGTATCTCCATGGAAACCACTTCATCATCAATGGTAGCTTGGTGACGATATGTAGACTCTAAAATAAGAACATATTGTCAAACGTATTAAAAGAACATTTTTTTTTTTAATCCTCCTTACAGCTCTCCCAGCACAAGACCTGAAATGTGACACACAGTTTGACTAAATTTTATTTAGTGGAGCTCTTCCAGCCATTCTGAAACACACTCAAGTCCTTTCTACAACAGCAACGCTTTTATGTCTCTCTGTACAGCACAGCTTTTTCTTTCTTGTGTGTTAGACCTGCAAAGGGCTGTGCCTGTGGACACTGCACTCAGCACCCAATAGGAGGACACTTTCCTGTGGCAGAGAGCTCTGCAAGGCTGTATTTCATTTTTCATGTTTGCTCCTAGAGAAGGCTGCTGCCTATGAAAGACAAGTACTAGAACTCTCAAAGTATCCAGCTCAACAGTCTGTCACTGCACAGTCTGAAGTCTCACAAGATCAAAACCAGTATGGTTGCAGATCAAGGAACCTAACCACTAAGCTCAGGCCTTATACTGTGAAAAAATTCCAGATCAGTTAGCTATTTTAGGAATGTCTGTTTTAAACATTCTGAAATCATCACATTCCCATCTTCCAGCAAGGGATCAAGCAGTGATTTCCCTGTGTAAGATTTATAAGGATAACCAGTGGGCATTAAGCATTCACACCATGCTATAGGAAAAAGAACACATTTACTATGTTCCAGGTTCTGGAACCAGGCAACTAATCAGAAAGCTAAGGTCAAAAGGCTTGTTTTATCTTCATAAGCTGATAAGCTAAATTTGATAGCATTTGACCTAAAACTTGGAAAATTATCTGTGCTAACATTCAGATTTATTACTGTTGCTAGCTCACAGATGGCCTATATCAAAAGGCAAATGTGTATGCTATAAAAGTCTGGCCAGCGACTATGAATGCTTTGCATTGTCAGAGATAGATTTCTTTCATTTGGTGCAAATCTCTTCAATAGGAATGAAGGAAATCTTGTAGGAAACATTTCTTTAACTTGAACTTTTGAAAGGACTCCTATTTGGTGAATGCCTTTTTTCGTTACATACTTAAGAATGTCAGCTCTTCATAATCGTGAATGTTTTAAGCTGTCAGTGCTCTCCTCCCAAAACAAAAATGTCACTCCCTCCCTGTGCCACCTTAATGGCTGTAATAGCCCAGCTGCCTCTAACAGGGACAAACGGTCAATTTACTTAAGCAGATGGCAAGCACTCTTACTGTAGGGTTTCAGACAATGAAGAATGGGTATTTTAAAAGGTTATAAATACCCCTTCTGTTTAGTATTTTGAGGCTGTTGAAGGAGTTGGAGTCCACCTTTATGATCCTGAGACTCAACCTACACAGCAGAGTAAGATATATCTAAGTTTCTCAGTCTTATCTGTCTCTTCCACACACCCTCTCAGACGCAGCAATTTCCTCAGGGAATGCAGAAAAGGGTCTAGATAAGAAGCTCTAGTTTGGTGTGGAAGCTGCAGTGATGTACCTTCAGTGAGTTATGTCAGTGGCTAAAATGTTCAGTGCTAGGTTGGGATTCCCTGTGTAGTACTCCAGGGGAAGGTTATTTAGGAACTTTCTTTGGGGAAGGCTGCTATGAAGAAGAGATGGCTCTCTGAGTAAGTAATGTGGTATTAGCTCCTTACTTGTTAAGACTTTGCAGTGCTTGAATGCCTTCAACCATCTGGCCCTGCTTAACAAGTAGCTGTTGAGAACTGTTCCCCAGAACTTGTGAAAGTGCTCACCCAGCCCTTCTCAGGAGGCAGAGTGGGGTATGCCCATGCAGATCTTCCCCATGAAATGGAAGAATAAATCTCAACGAGTAGTCTTGTGCTCACTGCAGAAAAGCAGCATGATTCTGAAATGATACTTAAGTTCTCAAAATAGGACTTTGGCAGCACTTTACGTTGCAAGTTTAACTCACTTTGGTTGCTCACGCTGGAATGGAATTTGATCTTGGATGAGTAGCATCAATTTGTGTCAGATTTGTGTAAATAAATCTTAGTAAATGTGTCTTCCTGTGCTTTGGAATGTGTGGTAGCTGGGTGAATTTTAGTGAGTGTAAAATGGCTGGGCATTGAAAGCATTTTTTTGGTGTAATCACAGACATGGCTTCTCCTTCAGAAACATCTGAAGAATCTGGTTGTATTGTAACTTATAAGCCCTGAAGATGTGAGCTCCAGTCTGTTCACCTTGATCCCATGGTGCTTCAAAAACGCATTGCCTTGCTTTGGTATTTATTACTATCGTTTTGGTGCCTTTTTTTTTTTTTTAGACATGCAGCTAGAGAGAAATTACAGGACTTGAGACAGCTGCTGGATTCCCAATTGAAACCCCACTGGCAACACAGGTGTCTGTGCTCAGCTAAGAACCCTTGACTCCTATTAGAGTTGATGAAGTAAAATAGCTGCTGGATATAGCTTGTCTGAGCTCTCTTCCTGGATAAATCACAACTCAAAAGCACTTGGAAGTCTAAAATTGGTCAGATGAATCCAGGCTCTAAATGTCTTATGCTTACATCATCATGTTTAAGTAGAAAAAGAAAAGTGTAACACTGTACCAGTGGCTCCCAAAATTACTTCAGGCAACTTTCTGAGCTTCAGATTGTCATTTGCAGCAGGTGTTGCTCCCATCTTCTATCTTTTTTAGCTATGTGGCTAAAACCTCATCAATGGAAAGGAAACTGTGGAGCTGTGTTTTGCTCTCCACAGGCTTGGCGTCAAACCTGCCAGCTTCAAAGCAGAGTTAGGGAGCTGCTGACTGAGATGGGGTTTGCCTGAAGATGACAGTGCTGTGGGAATAGTAAAATTTAGTGGGTTGCTCTGTTTCAATATAAATAAGTAAATCTGACCCGTTTCTTGTTGGTCTGGGGGTGTGCTATGCTTCTGGTCATATTCGCAATAACAAGCTCAAAGGTGCTGATAAGTGTGGCTTTGAAAGATGATGCCAGACTGCAGAGTCCCTCTTGTTTATAAAGCTGCAATATCCCATCACTCTTGCTGTGCAAAGCACTCTTGGTTCTCATAGCACTATTGTTTGAAAAATTGAAGTTTATTTCAAAAATATTTAAAGCTGCCAAAAGGCCTGAGAAGTATGTTGGAAAGTGGTAGCATTTGGCTTGGTTTTAAGCCACAATAATTTGGTAATAGGAACTGAATAAATCTTTCAAATTTCCACAGCTGCTGAATGATTATGGAAATGATGATTTTGGTGAAAATAAAATAAAAAACTTCCCTGAGGGCTCTCAGTGTTTATAAGCATGTTACAAATCTCCCTATTCTTCTTAAAAGTAGGATTTTTAAAAATACAGGGAAAAAAACCCTACTTATATGGAGAAAACTTTGAAGCTCATGACTTACAGACTGTCTATGGATGCAATATTAAGTCATAGCTTGACCACATCACACCCTTGCACTATGTTTATTGGGATATATTTAATACAGTTTTGCCCTATAAGACTTAGTTGGTCATCTATCAAACCTGTTTGTCCAGGAGTATCCTGATTTATTAAACATATTTGTTCCAGAATATTATATTTTCTAAACTACCTGAAAAGTAATTTTTTTTAGTTCTTGGTTTATATTTGTAATAATGTAAAAAGTTGTTTTGAACAATTATTTTGAACTGGCAATATATATTGCTCTGGAAGGAAGTATTTGCTTGGAAGGGCTTATTTGTTTTAGGAAAGCATTTGTAGTAGAAGTAGGTAAATCAGCTGAGAAGGAGCAATGACATGACATACACTATTTTACACTCAAACTTAAGGAGCAGCCTAGTCTTGTTTGTTTACTTTTAAATACAGAAGGACACAAACTCTGTTTCTATATAGAATTTAGTCCATTTTTGTCAAGAAAGGTTCATAAAGCAAGGATATATAAAAATGCTTTAAGAAACTTTGGTCTCATGGTGGTTTTCAGCCGGTTGGACTCAAGAAATGCAAGGTATCTGGAGAAAGAGTTTTTGTGTAATGATTATAGCTGAGTTTTCAGACCAAAAAGCTTCAGTTAATAGGTGCGAACTTCAAAGTTACGGTTAAAGTCTTCTTGGACAGCAGTGCAGCAGAATGTTTAAAATATTACAGCTCCCCATAGTTAGTTATGTTAACCTAATAAAGGTTCCTGTTGGTTTGGGTTTTTTTGTTGTTAACTCCCTGCTCATTTAGACTCCGTCTTTGACATGCATCAGGATGGCACCTGTCTATCACATTTGAGACACATTACTTTGACAGCTGGTCTTGTTTGACATCTTCTCCAGATCCTTCCTTGAGCCTGCCTTTGTGAAATCTGTCCCCCTCTGCATTTCCCTGCTGCTTCAGGAACTTTCCACCTTTTAGAAAGCCCTTGTGAGCTGAATGTACCTTCCTGATTCAGAAGGTCTCTCCTGCCTTCTTCCTTCCTCAGCCCCAGCTTTTTTCAAAACACAGCTGAATGTACTTTTTCTTGCTTACATCTGGCTGTTACATATTCCCTCTGTTATTTACCTCACAGGAGGGCTTTTATTTTGCAACCATCAGTGGTTTTACAGTAAGCACAGTACCACCCTTGTATATTTAAAACATATTTCTAATGCTAAGGCAGCGTAACTTCATGTAACTCTCTATTCATTGATACCACAGACCCCAAAATTAGCGTAGTTGGGTTATTTATCAATAACTGTCAAACAACATACCATCCATGGTCATTGCCTATTATTATCATGTGTAAAAGCAAAAGCAGTAAAAGTAAAGTTTCTGGAAGGAAACTTTGTGACTGACAACCCTGATAATTGGACTCGCACTCTTCAGGGTTATGCTTCTGCATGTGTAACCTCAAAAATCAGGAGATACAGAAGGAAGAGTTCCAGGAGGTTGTACACACATCAGAGGTGTGATGTGCCCTTTATGTACAACTATCATACTACACAAAAATTCATGTCAAGCTACAGATTTAAACCAAAACACATATGAAAGAAGAATATATTAGTTTGCAGATATTTAACCCAACTCTAGGGTCTCTAGTTGCTTCCCATGCAGTCTGCTGTTGTGGATGGGAG